AGGAGGATTGGCAGCGGATGTTAGCTCAGGGCTGATCTTCCTTGAAAAAAAAAAGATTCTAAGTTAATGAACGGGAGAGCTAGAAGAGTGTGGGATGGGGGGAGAGGGACTTAATTTTAATTTTATTTTTCTGATAGGATACACTTGAGCATATTTTTAGGCTATGGATAAACAGATAATTGGATATAAGGAGCTGAAGATGGAATATATTAGATATATCTGAGTAACAAAATCTCAAAAAAGTAGAAGACAATAGAGTTGATAGTACCATTGGAAAACATTTATTTTGATAAGTCAGCAATAGTGGAAGAATATAACTAATATGAAAAAAAGGCACAGAAACTTATGCTTAATGAATACTTTTTTTCTCTTTTAAGTAGGAAAAATGATATTTTAAAGATGAAGGATAAGGACGAAGAATTTAAAGACTAGTCATGAGGATGTAATGTAGAGCATGGAGACCATAGTTAATAATCATATTGTATATTTGAAAGTTGCCAGAAAGTAGATCTTAAAAGTTCTCATTGCAAGAAAAAAAAATTTGTAACTATGTGCAGTGATGGATGTTAACTAGACTTATTGTGGTGATCATTTAACAATATATATATAACACCTGAAACTAAATAATATTATATGCCAATTATATCTCAATTTAAAAAAAGAATTTGAAGCCTAGCAAAAGCAAGTGCAGTCAATAGTACTAGATTTGAGAAATGGAAGATAAGTAGAGACAATATGTTCACTCCTTGCCAATTTGGCAAGAAAAACTAGACTATCTGTTGATGTCACCTCTCTAGAGCCTTCCTGTTTGGCTGCTCCCCAGAAGCAGCCAAACTCTGGATGTCTGAACTAAGGCTAATGAGTTACATGAGGCAGAACACTCTTGAGACCACTAAAAATAAATACATCCTCATGTATCTCATTCCCTAAAGCATGTACTTTGACATTGGTGACATAAATATATCCCTCAGATATAGTATTAGCCCTTTTATTCATGGGCAGATTCCATAGAATTCACAGATTCCAACTTCTGCTTGGCGACAGACTCAATTGTCCACTCTAATTTATATTCCCTTTTTTGCACTGAAAGACTCTATAAAATGAGTGGACAATATTCCTGGAAATAGCCTGGGGATGACACAAGTTATGCTAACAATAATTATAAAAATAATTGGTACTACCTTTAACTAGCCTGAGAGAGTAGCAATTTTCATTTTGCTTGACTTTGATGATTAACCATTTTCAAGGATTATCTTGTCCAAGGTTGGCATTTAAAGCGTTCTTTAAATACATGGATCTGTATTTATTCTAAGGATTCTGATCTATCTGATTCATCCCCTAACATTTCTCCAATTCCACGACCACACACCACTTAGTAATTACTGAAGGTATCAGCACTCATTGGGGACCAGCAATCATGTGGTTTCATCTGCCAGATATTAACTTTCTCATCAATATGCAAATCTTCTAGTTTCATAGAACTGTAGTGGTCTTGCAAAGACCATCTTGCTTCTTTAAGAAGGTAGCTGGATATCAGTAATCTTTGTTATTCTCCTATGAAAGAAGATGCCATATTCTTAACCCAACATCCATTCAAATGTTCCAAAGGCCCCTGAGGTTGTTCCTTTTGCTCCTGACTTCTTAGACTCAAAAGGTGGTGGTGCTACCTGCAGAATTGGTGTCTATGCATGAGTTTGCTCTTTACTTAGATTAAATTCTAGACTGAAAGAGGAATCTAAACTCCAGAATAGCTAAAAACCACTTCAATAGAGAAGTGAAAGACGTAAGTATTGTCTCTTCCAATTCATACCAGATGCTTGGTGCTAGGTCTTATAAGCATGAAATCTACATTTATGTTTTAGATCTCAAAAGTGTAACAATGGTGTGTATAGGAGAAAAGCATTCATTGGATATTCATGCCAACTAAGGGAAATCAGTTTTTCCTGTTGCTGTGAACTTCCTCTATTACACACCAATCAGAAGAAGAGAAATAGCAACAGTATCAATAATAATCTTAGCAATTATCATGGTCACAATGTACCTCATTCATGAATTTGTAATAGGATAGAACTAATACTTGCATCTTAGCCTTATCACTGCATACCAGGCATTTATAATAAAGAATTGTTATAATTTGACAGGTATGATTACACTATACTGTTTCTTTGGGTTAAATTGTGTCTCCTCAAAAGATATGTTGAAATCCTAACCCCTGGTTCCTATTAATATGACCTTATTTGGAAACAGAGTCTTTGCAGATGTAATCAATTGAAGGGAAGATTATATTCGAATAGGGTGGGACCTAATCCAATATGACTGGTATTCTTATTAGAAAAACAGAAAAGACAGACAGGCAGGGGGGAATACTGCGTGACTACCGAGGCAGTAACTGAAGTGCTGCAGCTGTAAGCCAAGGAACCCCCAAAATTGCCAGCAAAGCACCAGCAGCTAGAAAACTGCAAGGATGTATTTTCCCCTACAGGTTTCAGAGGTCTTGCCAACATCTTTATTTTGGACTTCTAGCCTCCACAACTGAGAGACAATAAATTTCTGTTGTCTTAAACCATCTAGTTTGTGGCACTGTGTTATGGAGGACTAGGAAAATAATATAACATGTTGAAATTTGTATTAAAATGCCTATGTCAATAGGTGTTAGCTCAGGGCTGGTCTTCCTCAGCAAAAAGAGGAGGATTGGCGTGGATGTTAGCTCAGGGCTGATCTTCCTCACAAGAAAAATAAAGAAATAAAAATAAAAATAAATGCCTATGTCAATTTGATTCTACTTTTGTAGTTACAATGATTTTACCGGTTTTATTAGAATATGTGCCTTCTTGCTTCAAATCACTTTCTGTGCATCAGTGAGAAGAACAAAATCATTTAAAATCATCTTGCAGACCAAGTTACGAGATATTTCAGTGCTCTCTGAGAAACAACAGCCTATTTGAAAATATTTTAAGAGCCTCCAACTAGCACCATGATGGACTGGAGAAGCTCCTTCTCTGTAAATCCTTAAGCACAAGGATAGAGGGAAGAAGCAAAGGTAAGCACCAACAGCATTTGATAAAACAAATTCTGGTGACCAATGCCAGTTTTCTTATTTTGTATATTTCAAAACAAGGCCTGAAAATCTGGAAGATATAGAAATTAAGAACCATGCTGTCACTAAAGTGTCTGCAAGTGAGGAGTGCATATTCAAAATGTGATAATAGATCTATTGGAACATAAACCTACCAGGTTTCAGTAAATAGCTAAAACATTGTCTTTTATTTGTTGTTAAAATCTTGCAACAGTATCTCGTTTAGTTGGAAGGAGAGAAGGCCAGGAAATAGGGATGAGGGTGGCAGCCTTTAGAACCTCAAAGCTTATTAGTCATTGATTTGTACTTAGAATCCAGGTACTCTATTATCATTTTATTGCATTTTAAAACTTACTATTCCAAATTAATTTCACTCTTTGGAGATACAGTAACAACAGCCACCAAAACAATCACTGGAAGGATTTAGGACTAAAATGATTAGGGGCACCAAGAACCCAACAAGAAAAGCATAATAGCGAGGTGGCAGAATATCCTCTTGCCTGGTCATGGATTTTGCTAACAGAAAAAGGATGTTCACAAAAGATTAACAGAGTCCTGCAAGGGTCCTTACAACACAGCATTAAAAAGAAATCTTAAGTTTGAATAGTCAAGACTGCTTATTAACTGTTGTTCAAGATTTCTTTTGTTTTTCCCTTATACACTTATATTCTGTTACTCCTAAATTCACTTTCTATAAGCTATTACAAATTTTAAACTTCTTCCATATTTTCATTTATTCAACACAATTTTTGTGAATCTACCATATGCCAGACTCTTTTCTCTACTTTAGTGATATTATGAAATATTACCCTTGTTTAGGTATTATTTACTATTAATCTTGCATCATAGTGTCTGTGTGTGTGTGTTTGTGTGCGTGTGCATATGTGTGTGTGAGAGGGAGAGCGAGAAAGAGAAGTTTATTTCCAAGAAAAGGCCCAATGGCTTTAATAGAAAACAGAATGATTGATGTGATGTTGGTATGTATAGGAAGAACAAAGTAAGAAGTGGAAAAAATAAATTACTCTATTACATTGAAGAATTCAAAAAGAGAATTATAAGGTGAAAGGAAAGAAAAGAAAAGAGTACACATTAGGTTGGTGGTTCCCTGAGTTTTTGCTGAAAGTGGTATCAATGATGATTACTCAGGGTTAGTCCTCTAAAACATGAGGTTTCAATACAATGAATTCTTAAATCATTTCCAATCTTTAAACATGATTTTAGCCTCCATGCCCAAAAGTTCCCGTCAATAAACATGATTTCAGGCTCCATACTGAAAGGTTCCATCGATATACGCATTAAAATATGTTGTTCCCTTTGAATAAAATTGTAATGGTAAATATTATTGTTTATGGATCTTCAGAAAATATATTTCTTCTCTACACAAAACAGAAGTAAGAAAACGAGTCTTAATATTTCAATTCTTCATGGAAAACAAAGATAGAGGGAATAAGGGAGTACAAATTTACAACTTATTCAAAACAATTAGATTTAATTTTTGGAAAAACTTGAATTATCTTTCGAGTTCATGCAATCATAAAAAGGCAGTGTCCCTAGCAGTTAAGCTCTCATGTCGTGGAGTCAGTTTCAATCCTGACTCTGCCATTTATCGGGTGAGTCACTCTGGGAAAATTACTGAACCTCTTTAACCCTGATTTCCTTCTTCTGTTCAGCAGAGATCACGATAATGCCAAGCTCACAGAGTTGTTGTGAGAAAATGCATAGAAAGTGCTTAGGCCAGTGCCTGAAACATGGAAGATATATATAGTAACTGTTTATCACTCCCTTTCTTGCCAACAAGGAAGTGACTGTGAAAACGCTCCAAGCTCCCAATCAAACTCTATTTACCCACTCTAGGAAAAAAGAGGTGAGTTAAACATGCAAAATAAAAGTATACAGTACTCTTAATTCCAACAGGTAGAGTACAATGGAAAGAGCTAATGACAGCACCTTCTCTGGATTCATCCTCCTGGGCTTCTCCAACAGGCCTCAGCTAGAGACTGCTCTGTTTGTGGTCATCCTGATCATCTACTTTTTGAGCTTTCTTGGCAATGGCACAATTATAATTGTGTCAGTTATGGATCTTCGCCTCCATATCCCTATGTATTTCTTCCTCTCCAACCTCTCTTTTATGGATCTTTGTTTGACTACTTGCACTGTCCCTCAGACACTAGCCAACTTTAAGGAAAAGGACAAGACCATCACCTATGGTGGCTGTGTGACCCAGCTCTTCATTGCCTTGGGACTTGGGGGAGCAGAGTGTGTCCTCCTGTCTGTCATGGCTTATGACCGCTATGCAGCTGTGTGCCACCCACTCCACTACATGGTGATCATGCATCCCCAGCTTTGCTTGCAGCTTATTGTAACTGCTTGGCTTACAGGGTTTGGCAGTTCTATAGTACAGACAGCATTGACCATGACTCTTCCCTTCTGCGGTAAAAACCAAGTGGATCATTTCTTCTGTGAAGTTCCAGTGATGCTTAAACTGGCCTGCACCAACACCTCCATCAACGAGGCTGAAGTTTTTGCCGTCAGTGTCTTCTTCTTGGTGGTGCCCCTGTCACTCATCTTAGTATCCTATGGTCACATTACCAGTGCAGTGCTGAAGATAAAATCAGCCCAGGGGAGGCAGAAGGCTTTTGGAACCTGTGGTTCTCACCTAATGGTAGTGATCATTTTCTTTGGTACACTCATCTTCATGTACCTCCAGCCTCCCTCCAGTTATTCTCAGGATGTGAACAAAAGCATTGCGCTCTTTTATACTCTGGTGACTCCCCTGCTGAATCCCCTGATTTACACTCTGAGGAACAAGGACGTCAAAGGGGCACTAAGGAAACTAGTGAGAAGAACCACAGACTTGACAGAGTGCAGGGCTTGCAGACCCAAGCCTTTGTGCACTAGAAGACTTCCGAGTGACTAAAATGTAGTTTTAACTTAATTCAACAAATCTTTACAAATCACTTGTTATGTACAAAATGCTGTTCTAGGTACATGGGATACATCAGTGATAGAAACAGAGATACCTGTCCCCCATGGAGCCCAAACTTCTAGTAAGGAGAAAATAAGTTATATAAGATAAGCTAAAAATAAACTGAAGGATATCACGTATTGGAATACTATACAATAATGAGAATAAACAAATTTTAAGTACATACAGCAACATGAATGATTCTTATAAACATAATGTTGAATGAAAGAAGCCAGATACAAAACAGTTCATACTGTATGATTCTATTTACAAAAAATACAAAAGCAGGCAAAGTGAATGTGTGATATTGGAAGTTAGATTAGTGGTTCCCCTGGGAAGTATTGATTGGAAGGAGAAATGGAGGGAATGGGTTTCCGGGCTTCTGGTTATGTTCTGATTCTTGATACGGAGGCTGGTTAAACAAGGTACACAATTTGTGCAGATTCATCAAACTTTCCACTTAAGGTACTTGCACTTTTTTGTATGTATGTAGTACTTCAACATCTTTTACTTTTAAAAAGGTTTAAATAAACTAGAAATTAATAAAATACTGGGGCCGGCCTGGTGGCATAGCAGTTAAGTGCGTGTGCTCTACTGCGGCAGCCCAGGGCTCAGACCCCGGGCGCACACCAACGCACTGCTTGTCAAGCCATGCTGTGGTGGCAGAAAATGGGCATGGATGTTAGCCCAGGGCCAATCTTCCTCAGCAAAAAGAGGAGGATTGGCAGATGTTAGCTCATGGCTGATCTTCCTCACAAAAAAAAAAAGAAATTAATAAAATACTATGACTCTAAATAATCACATTAAGTATTTTTGTTCCTTTCACACAAAGTTTGGATTTATATTATAATCTAAGTTACTTCTCCACATTGAACTGAACTGGTAGATTCTAAATTGTTTTTGATATTAGTAATATTTAGCCAACTAGAATGAATCTTAGCAAGATTTCCTCTGAAGATCTCAATCAAAGATCATCTGTACAGTCTGTCTCTGGTCTCTTCCTCATTCCATGTAGATACCTAGTTGCTAGTTCTTGAGGCAAAATTATAGTGATAATTTGCAGAAGAAAATTTTACTACTGAGTATTGTATTGTGGTGAATTAACTATATTTTGCCTGACAAATATGTTTAGTGTGTGTGTGTTTGAGTGTATATCTGTGTGTATTTGTATGTATGTAGTCTACAAAAATCCACAATTTAGTAAAGACCTAAAAATATTTTCATTTAACACAGATTTCAAAATATTTAATTAATATTTGATGGCATACTGGTAAAATAGCACATATTGAAGAGGATTTATAAAACAAAGGAACAAACAGAATCTAATAATTGTCTGATAAACTCAATATGCAGTTAGTTTAAATATTTTCTTCTTAAATATTTCCTATTGAACTATGGCACGTTTGAAGATTTGTTCATGTATTATTATGCCAATGAAATTAAAGAGCAAGGATTTATTTTGTTTACTTAAGTTAAAGTTAACTGGTGAATTGTTGAGTTCAATAATGCTCTTGTCTCTGCTTGAAATGAATTATTTTCAGTGATTTCTGATTGATTATATTCTGATGGTAATACAGAACATATGATTTTTTTTGTTTGTTTTGTTGAGGTCATATTGGCTTACGACATTGTGTAATTTTCAGGTGTACATTATTATATATCAGATTCTGTAAAGACTGCATCAAGTTCACCATCAATAGTCTGGTTTTTATCCATCGCCGTACATATGTGCCCCTTTACCCCTTTCACCCACCCCCCAAGCCCTTCCCCTCTGGTAACCACTAATCTCTTTATCTATATGTTTATCTTCCACATATAAGTGAAATCATGCACTGTTTGTCTTTCTCTGTCTGGTTTATTTCGCTTAACATGATACCATCAAGGTCCATTCACGTTGTTGCAAATGGGATGATTTTGTCTTTTTTACTGCTGAGCAGTATTCCATTGTATGTATATATATACCACATCTTCTAATTGAAGGGCACTTGGGTTGCTTCCATGTCTTGGCTATTGTGAATAATGCTGCAATGAACATAGGGGTGCATAAATATCTTTGAATTGTTGATTTGAAGTTCTTTAGATAAATTCCCAGTTGTGGGATAGCTGGATCATATAATATTTCTATTTTTAATTTTTTGAGAATAGTCCATACTGTTTTCCATAGTGGCTGCAACAGTTTGCATTCCCTGCGTGAAGATTCCCTTTTCTCCACATCCACTCCAACATTTGCCATTTTTCATCTTGGTAATTATAGCCATTCCGACAGGTTTAAGGTGATATCTCGTTCTAGTTTTGATTTGTATTTCCCTAATAATTAGTGATGTTGAACATCTTTTCATGTGCCTGTTGGCCATCTGTATATCTTCCTTGGAAAAATGTCTGTTCATATCCTCTGCCCATTTTTTGATCGCATTGTTTGTTTTTTTGTTGTCGAGTTATATGAGTTCTTTATATATTTTGGAAATTAACCCCATGTCGGACATAAGATTTGGAAATATTTTTCTCTCAGTTGGTGGGTTCTCTTTTCATTTTGTCCGTGGTTTCCTTTGCCTTGCAGAAGATTTTTAGTCTGAAGAAGTCCCATTTCTTTATTTTTTTCTTTTGTTTCTGTTGCCTGAGTAAACACGATATTCAAAAAGATGTTGCAAAGACAGATGACAAAGAGTGTACTGCCCATGTTTTCTTCTAGGAGTTTTATGGTTTCAGACCTTACATTCAAGTATTCTGTTTTGAGTTAATTTTTGTGTATGGTGTTAAGGTAATGGTCTGCTTTAATTCGTTCTGCATGTGGGTGTGTAGTTTTCCCAACACCATTTATTGAAGAGACTTTCCTTCCTCCACTGTATGTTCTTGGCTCCTTTGTCGAAGATTAACTGTCCATAGATGTGTGGTTTTATTTCTTGGCTTTCAATTCTGTTCCATTGATCTGTGTGTCTGTTTTTGTGCCAGTACCATGCTGTTTTGATTACTATAGCTTTGTAGTATATTTTGAAGTCAGGGACTGTGATGCCACTAGCTTTGTTCTTTTTTCTCACAATTGCTTTGGCTATTCGGGGTCTTTTGTTGTTCCATATAAATTTTAAGATTCTTTGTTCTATTTCTGTGAAAAATGTCATTGGGATTCTGATTGCAATTATAATGAAGCTGTAGATTGCTTATGTAACATGGACATTTTAAATGTTTATTCTTCCAATACATGAATGTGAAATATCTTTCCATTTCTTTATATCTTCAATTTCTTTCAATAATGTCTTATAGTTTTCAGTGTATAGGTCTTTCATCTCTTTGGCTAAATTTATTCCTAGATATTTTATGCTTTTTGTTATGATTATAAATTGGATTGTATTGTTTTTTTTTTAAAGATTTTATTTATTTATTTATTTTTCCCCCCAAAGCCCCAGTAGATGGTTGTATGTCATAGCTGCACATCCCTCTAGTTGCTGTATGTGGGACACGGCCTCAGCATGGCCGGAGAAGTGGCGTGACGATGCGCGCCTGGGATCCGACCCCGGGCCGCCAGCAGAGGAGCGTGCGCACTTAACCGCTAAGCCACGGGGCTTGCCCTGGATTGTATTCTTGACTTCTCTTTCTGCTAGCTTGTTATTAGTGTATAGAAATGCAACTGATATTTGTGTGTTGACATTTTACCCTGCAACTTTGCTGTAGGTATTGATTATTTTTAATAGTTTTCTCGTGGATTCTTTAGGGTTTTCTATATATAGAATCATGTCATCCGCAAACAGTGAGAGTTTTACATCTTCCTTTCCAGTTTGGATCCCTTTTATTTCTTTTTCTTGCCTAAATGCTCTGGCCAAAACATCCGTACTATGTTGAATAAAAGTGGTGGTAGTGGGCACCCTTGTCTTATTCCCATTCTCAGAGGAATGACTTTCAGTTTTTCACCGTTAAGTATGATGTTGGCTGTGGGTTTGTCATATATGGCCTTTATTATGCTGAGGTACTTTCTTTCTATACCCGTTTTATTGAGAGTTTTTATCATAAATGGATGTTGAATCTTGTCAAATGCTTTCTCTATGGCTATTGAGATGATTATGTGGTTTTTATTCCTCATTTTGTTAATGTGGTGTATCATATTGATTGATTTTGCAGATATTGAACTATCCCAGCATCTATGAAATAAATCCCACTTGATCATGTGTATGATCCTTTTAATGAATTGCTGTATTCAGTTTGCTGATATTTTGTTGAGGACTTTTGCATCTAAGTTTATCAGCAATATTTGCCTTTAATTTTCCTTTTTTCTGTTGTCCTTTTCTCGGTTTGATATCAAGGTAATGTTGGCCTTGTAGAAAGAGTTAAGAAGTGTCCTGTCCTCTTCCATATTTCAGAATAGTTTGATAAGGATAAGTATTAAATCTTTGAATGTTTGGTAGAATTCACCAGGGAAGCCATCTGGTCCTGGACTTTTGTTTTTTGGGAAGTTTTTGATTACTTTTTCAATCTCTTTACTTGTGATTGGTCTATTCAGATTCTGTGTTTCCTCTTGATTCATTTTTCAGAGGTTGTATGATTCTATGAATTTATCCATTTCTTCTAGGTTATCCAATTTGTTGGCAAATAGTTTTTCATAATATTATATTCCTTTGCATTTCTGTGATATCCATTGTAACTTCTCCTCTTTTTTTTCTGATTTTATTTATTTGAGTCTTTCTCTCTTTTTTCTTAGTAAGTCTGGCTAAGGGTTTGTCATTGTGTTTATCTTCCCAAAGAACCACCTCTTAGTTTTATTGATCTTTTCTATTGTTTTTTTAGTCTTTATTTCATTTATTTCTGCTCTGATTTTTATTAGTTCCCTCCTTCTAGTGACTTTGGGCTTTGTTTGTTTTTCTTTTTTGTTCTTTCAGGTGTAGTTTAAGATTATTTATTTGAGAGTTTTCTTGTTTGTTGAGGTAGACCTCTATTGCTATAAATTTCCCCCTTAGAATCACTTTTGCTACATCCCATAAGAGTTGATATGTTTTGTTTTCATTTTCATTTTTCTCCAGGTACTTTTTGATTTCTCCTTTGATTTCTTCATTAATCCAATTGTTGTTCAGTAGCATGTTGTTTAGAGTCCACATGTTTGTGACTTTCCTAGCTTTTTTTTTTTTTTGTAGTTGATTTCTAGTGTCATAGCATTGTGTTCAGAAAAGATGCTTGATATTATTTCAATCTTTTTAAATTCACCGAGGCTTGCCTTGTTTCCTAACTTATGGTCTATATTCGAAAATGTTCCCTAAGCACTTGAGAAGAATGTGTATTCTGCTATTTTGGAATGGAATGTTCTATACATGTCTATTAAGTCCAACTGGTCTAATGTTACATTTAAGGCAATGTTTTCCTTGTTGACTTTCTATCTGGATGATCTATCCATTGACATAACTGAGGTAATAAGGTCTCTACTACTATTGTGTTGCTGTAGGTTTCTCCCTTTACGTCTGTTAATAGTTGCTTTATATACTGTGATGCTCCTGTGTTAGGTGCATGTATATTCATAGTATTATATCTTCTTGGTGGAATGTCCTTTTTATCAGCATATACATGCCCTCTTTGTCTCTCATTATCTTTTTTACCTTGAAGTCTGCTTTATCTGATATAAGTATGTCTAGACTTGCTTTATTTTGCTTGCCATTTGCTTAGAGTATCACCTTCCATCCCTTCTCTCTGAGCCTATGTTTGTCTTTAGAGCTGAGATGTGTTTCCTGGAGGCAGCATATTGCTGAGTCTTGTTTTTCAATCCATCCAGCCACTCTGTTTCTTTTGATTGGATAATCCAATCAACTTACTTTTAGAGTGATTATTGATATATGAGGGATTAACATTGCCATTTTATCTCTTGTTTTCTGGTTGTTCTGTTTTTTAATTGTTTCATTTCACTTGTATTTCTGACTGCTATTTCAGTTCGGTAGTTTTCTGTGATGGTTTTCTCAATTTTCTCTTTATTTATGATTTGTGACTCTGCTTTGATTTTTTGTTTTGTGGTTACCATGAGGTTTGTATAAAAGATCTCATAGAATAGATAGTCCGTTTTCTGACAGCCTCTTATCTTCATTAACCTAAGCAGGTTCCATCCCTCTCCTCTTCCCCTTCTATGTTTTTGTTTTCACAAATCGTTCTTTTTTGTGCAGTGAGTTTGTGACTAAATTGAATTGTTTACAGTTATTTTTGATGCTTTCTTTCCCTTTATCTTTTATGTTACAATTAAGTATTTGCTAAACTATTCTGATATACAGCATCAATTTTCTGATTTTGTCTGTCTATTTATCTCCTTGCTCAAAGCTTTGTAAACCTTTGCCTTTTTGTTACAAGTAGGAGGGCTCCCTTCATCATTTCTTGTAAGGCATGTCTAGTCAAGATGAACTCCCTCAGCTTTTGTGTGTCTGGGAAAGCTTTTATTTTTCCATCATATCTGAAAGTAATTTCGCTAGACATTGTTGGTGTTAGTTTTTGTCTTTCAGTGTTTGGATATATCATTCCAATCTCTCCTAGCTTGTAAGGGGTCTGCTGAGAAATCCACTGAAAGCCTGATAGGGGTTCCTTTGTA